AAGCTGTAGTAAAACCTACAGCATCAGATGGGCTGGGCTTTTGGGTACCCCCCACTATCACTCACTGGGCATGTGTAGAAATAGATACACACACACACACACACACACACACACACTCGCTCGCGCTCTCTCTCTCTCTTTCTCTCTAGATATAGGCTATAAACCCGTGAACGCTCGTTCGCGCTCTCTCTCTCTCTCTCTCTCTCTCTCCAGAAACAGCCTAAAACGCTCGTTCGCGACTCACTCGAGCGCGCGCAAATACTTTCATCCAATATAAGTGTTCAATAGTTGTCTATCGGACACATATTTGGCCGTCTATTGGAAACACTAATGTGTTTTGGATGTAAAATGTTTCTCGCGCGCACACACACACACACAAGCTCGCGCGCGCGCGCGCACACGCTGCAAGAGTCAGTCTGGCAGTCTGCTCTGAACAACTAAAGGCACATAAGCCGCTTATTTCGCGCCCGGTGATTAATCTTTAATATTCCACAAAAGCATGCATATGTCACCAGCGCGATGTGAACCTCTCCCCCCGCGCGCCGTCCCGAGTGGTACTGTCCGCTGATTCACACAATGCGATTTTCTGGGGCAAGGCGTCCACGCGCGCTCCAACTTACACAGCGCACGATAGCATCTATAGCGCTGCGCCCTTTAAAGGATACAGGCAAGAGACTTTTTTTTCAACGGACGCCTGCATTTACAGTCCCAGGAGGGGGTGCCAGCTCTGCGTTAGGGGCTGAAAGGCTTTGAAAATGGCCACACTGTAGTTTACCGAACTCGGTCCATCCCGGCAAGCAAAGCCACAACATATAAACAAACACAGAGTGAAACAAAGTGCGCTGAATTTACTTGATTCATTTGACTCACTTGATTATGAACGGACCAAAAGAACTGGTCAAAATACACTGTTAACAAAAAACACCGTTCTGTTCAGGATCCTTTTTACGTTCATCAAGGTACAAACAATGTAAATGTTCCCTCAAAGGTACAACAGTGGTTTTAAGGTCTGATTGTGAACCTTAAATAAGTTTTTCCAGGTGAAAAGTTTGTATTTGTACCTTTTCATAACTGAATGTTTTAAAACAGAACAGTAAAATAAAAGCCTGGAGACGAGACGGGGTGTGTGGAGTCAGTACAGCTTAGAACATATCATATCAGTGGATTATGGTTCAGTTATGTTCCCTGACTAAAGGTACTGAGATGGACCCTTGAGGTCCCACCCCAGTGACAGGAGGGGTCCTGCCCCAGTGACAGTTTAGTACCTTTATTTCTGAGAGTGTACTGTTATATTCAATTACATTAAAAGCTTAGACTTTGTTTGCACAATGATATATTACATTAATGCAATTGTGTCTTTTTAGTTTACTCACTTTTGGCTATAAGTGTGTATCAATGTGTCCAGTTTTTGTGGAAAAGATGTACAAGTCAGTTCACTGCATTGCAACTCAGTGTGATATTATACACATCCACTCTTACTTGTCATGCATGTGTAGAAACATAAAAAGCAAAACATATTTATTTGATGCTTAACTGGAAAAAACTGCACACAAATACATAAAAAAAACAACCTGACCGAAGCAGAGCAACACATAAAGCAACTTTAAAAGGCTGCCCAGCTACTCTACTAACATTACTAAGTGAACAGACGAGTGCAACTTGGACCGGCTCCCAAATGTTGCTCACACCGTTGTTTTGCTTTGTTGTTTTGTAACCATTAGTGAAAATGACAACCATTCATTACAAGCCATTTGAGAATATTCTCCACAAATGCCACTCTTTATCTGCTGTCTCCACGCTGCGCGCGGGGGAAATTTTCAAAAAGCCAACCTTCGCCTTTCACAAATTCTATTAAATTCTTATCTCTTTGCGGCAGGCTCTTTTTTCCCCCCCTGCTATCCTATTGTTATGCATTGGAGCTGAAATCAATCACGGAACGTCCACGCCGCATCAATATGATTTCGGTTCGCGCGACGCCGAGCAAAAGCTTCGCATAAGGAGACACAATCCAATAAACAAAAGGCCAAGAAGAGAGAGGGAGAGAGACAAAAAATATATATACACATGCAAAATAAGTTCCCCTGTCCTAAGCGCTTGGCTGAGACCGGGAGTCAGAGGTGCAGGGTGGTGCTGATTGCTTCTGTGAGCATCTCCAAGGATGTAAAGCCAGTGATGAAAGAAAAACAAGACAGAGGAAGCACGTATGAAGAGTCTGCACTCGAGTGAGCTTCAGCACCACAGACAGCTCCAGAGTGACCCACACGAGCACCATGGACAGCGACATGAGGCCAAACAGGCGGGGCATGCAGATACTGTTTATGCTCTTCACAGGACTCTTCTTTTAACACATTATCACAGCTTTGGAGACGTGTAGTTAACGAGATCCTTGAAAATGATGCCAGTTACAGTCGGATCAGTGATCTGAGTGAGAACTTTGTAACCTTCACTAGGATCAGCTGAGCGGCTGCTGATAAAAACATGAGGAAGTTAAAGCCGACAGAGTAGAATACAGTAGAAGAGAATGCCGCTGTCCTTGGTCACGCTTAGAGGATAGTTTATCTTCAACCACTGCCACAATCTAGCTGGCAGTTAGAAAGATTGGGACGAAATACACAAAGAAAGTATGCTTTGGAGCCACTTTTGGTTCCCTTACAGAACATTTCAAATGGAGGTTCTTCAAAGAACCACTCTGAAAAAGAGTCTGAGTGTGAAGGAGCTTTCTAAAGTTTAAAGAACCTCCATACGATGTAATTGAAGGTGTTCTCTAGAACCTTAAGTAAAAGACAAGAAAGATTTAAGAACCTTAAAAAAATCATGTCTTACATTTTTCCTATTACTGCAAACATTGTTAATTGGCCAAAACAAATTTAGTGTTGAATGTTTAATTTGGCACATAAACACTTGCACTGCTTTTTAGCTTCAGCCTTATAGCTCCAGTACAAAGCTAAAGAAGCAAACGTCTAAGATAGTAAGAGTAAAAACTTCGGTAAGGGTGGGGGGAACTGTGTAAATCCGTGTTTTCAGAGAACCACCTCATCAAAAGGGGAACATATACTGATGAAAGTCAGCACAGCTTAAAATGATATAATAACTGATTACACAGCTTTTCTTAGTTTCGGAGTTGACACAACTTGAGGGCACAAGAGCTCAACAAACTCAGCCTTCTTAGACAAAAGTTCTCTTAATTTTTTAGTTCTGCTTCTCAGTTTTTTTTTTAACACTCAATTTCACCACTAGCCAAAATTCTTTCCATCACTCAGTACTATAGACATTTTCTCCTCTTAGCTACTCACTTATGGATGGCTGTGGCATCGCTGCTCAAACTCACAACCTCCTGTTGGGGCGATGGCTCAGTCTGTTACACCACTCAGGAACACGTGAAGTATGATTTTGTGTCCATAAGTGTTTAATAGGTGTTTGTAGAAAGTATTTGTTGTTTTAGCAAAGCCACAGCTGTCCAGATCTGGCAACCCAAGAGGGGAAATGCCTGTTGGGACTGTGTGAGTCCCAGCTGAATAAAAAATGCAAATTCTTTTGTTTATCTAAGGGAGATGCAGAACTAGAGAGAGCATTCGGGACAATTTTTAACTCATCTAAGAAGTCAAGTCGGGCGAACTGTGGTGTCCTAAAGCTGAGTTAATTCAAGAAAATCTGTGTCTTCAGTTACTTTATCAATTTTAGTTGAGCAGACTTAGATTAGGATTCCTATTGAGAGATCATAAAATCAACAACGGACCCAAAACAGGACATCAGTATATATTTTCATGAAGGAGAAAAGCAGGAAAAGTTCTTAGCTCTAAACAGTCATTTGCTCTGGTGTGTCATCTGTTTCAGAGCCCACCACTTTCAGCCTGTCTAACCAGCCAGACACCGCTTCTGTTAGGCTGTGAACCCAATGACTCCTTGTTCCTCACCACAGCCAGCGCTGAACATCAGCCGCTGGGGTCAGCACGTCTCCTCGCAGCACAAAGAGCCCGGTGGCCGCATTGTGGCGAGAGTGTGGTCAGTATAAATACTGCATAAGGCGGCTCAGGGAGCCAAGTTGAGAGGCCCCAGCTCAGCCAAGGCCTGCGACAGATGGAACAAGCCGACAGACAACAAGAGAAAAAGTTTGTGAATGCGCCCCCGGGCTCGCATTGTCCCCTCCGCAGCCATTCTGCTCCCCGTGGACAACAAACCGCCCTTTGTCTAAGTAGTTCAGCGGCTCTGAAGTTCAGCAAAGGGCGAGAAAGATCCTGAAAGATAGGCTCAAACAAAATGAACACGCACAGCTCTGAGGCCATCCATCACAGGCACAGACGTGGCCTTAATAAAAAGCCGGACACATAAACAGACAGGCGGGCTACGGCGCACATTTTTCCATTAACCTCAGAAAATTAAGGCTTGTTTTTCAAACATGACCCACATTTTTTTCACAGTTTTCTAAACGAGGCTAAGTTGGGCCAGCTTCTTGTTCGAATTTTCCCGTTCCACCTTAAATGGTGCGCCTGAGACCGCGGCCTGAGGCGCCGGAATGGAACTGCTGCACCATTTAAGGTGGAACGGTGAAATTAGAACAAGCAGCTGGGGAAAAAGAAGCTGACCAGTTCCAGCCTCACTGTTCAACAGGTGACGGTAAAGTAACTAGCTTTTCCACAGAAATACACGATAAAGAAACGAGTAGCTACCTCAGAGGCACAAAGATGGCTAGCCTACTTTACATAAACTGCCTTTACGCAGCTCAGAAACAGCCCGTGGAAGAAAACCAGGAGACCCATTTCTTATTTTACTACTCAAAACAGAACATGCTGTAAAATAACCCTTTCATTTTTGTCACCAGTGTGTTCACTTTCACTAATGTGGTCTGTTCGTGAGGCAGCTGAGTCACTTTAACGTAAAACCGCTCAGTCTTCCCAGAGTAAACAACAAAGCCTGCTCCTCCAGGAATCTGTAACAGCTTCAAACCAGACTCTTTACAGTAAAGGACTGTGCTGAGAAAGCAGAAGGAAAAGCTGACTGACCTAAGAAAGATCCACACAGCTTCATGGTCGCGCTCTGCTGTTTCCGCCGCGCGAGCGCTCACTCTGACAAAGTAAAAACTCCTGAGGGGAAAAGTTCAGAGCAACCGAGTACAACTTCTCTCGCGCAGGTGGTGCAGGAGGGGCCTCCTCGGTCAACCAATCACAGACCGCGCTGGGAGTGCTTGTATCTCTGCGCTGGCAGACTCGCAGCCAATCAGAGAGCTCCGGCTTTAGCTTTCAACTGAATGCCAACACAAAGGCTGTGGCAGCAAATATAGTCAAATCAGCTTCCCTGTTAAAGGGGAATTCCACCGTCTTTGTCTCAAACTGTCTGCAGAATTCAGCCATTGAGATGTAAACAAAGCAGTGGCTTGATGTCAAATTCTGGTTTCTTTATGATGGTGATCAGTGGTGGACGAAGTACACAAACCATGTACTTGAGTTGAGACCCAAGGTACAATATTACTCCAGTAAAAGTAGAAGTTCCTCCCTTTAGACCTCCACTTGAGTAAAAGTACAAAAGTATTTGCCTTCAAATGTACTTAAGTTTCAAAAGTGAAAGTACTAAAATATTAATTATGACTCTGATGTCCTTTTACCATTTTTGTAACAAGACTCGCTTCATCAACTCATTTTAGGTTAAAATACTGCAGTGTCTCTCTTGGTAAACCAGTCTTTTAATAGAATGCCATTAATTAGTGACGCTGATGTCTATTAAAATTATCATAAGCACAAAACACTGAAGGCAAACAGTTTCCATCAGGTAGAACTGAGTGGCCCTGAAATAACTTTTTGTGAACAAGCAAAGTTTCAGTTTAAGATTTATTTGCAGCTTAGTTACAAGTTTAAGTTTAATAAAGACTTTAAACTCAGGTTCACAAATGAGTTTCCTTTACTAAACTGCATCTGTAGGTCTCTGTTCGTAAACATAAACTAGCCAAAACTAATTTACTATAAAATGAAATATTGTTTGTATAAATTCAGAAAAAAGACACGTCAGTCACAACTGCATATGAGTACATATTTCTATACTGTGGTCTATTTACACAAAGTTAGGTTAGTTCATCATTTATGTTGAATAGACACTCCCAAAATCTTACGCTGCTGCACTGATATTGAACTCTATGCTTGCACTGGGTCGGTATGTCCAATAGGTCAAAACAAGCTCAAAACAAAGTGCGCTGTGGCCTGATTGGTGTTTTTGCTTTGCGCTTCTTTCATTTTGACATGTTATGTTTCTATACACACATAAGACAAAAGGAACGACAGATTTCTCATGATGTAGTGGAGTAAAAAGTAAGATATTTGACTTTGAAATGTAGTGGAGTGAAAGTAAAAAGTCACCCAAAATGGAAATACTTCAGTAAAGTACAGATACACAAAAACTACTTAAGTACAGTAACGAATTACATTTACTTTGTTACTGTCCACCACTGATGGTGATAGGAAACAGGGGGCACGGTGTCTACCACACAAATATGACCATCTTATTTACACTGTAAAAAGTCTCGTCAGATTTACTCAAAAAATACTTCATGTGGTAACAAGTAAATTAACTAGCTTTATTCAACCTAAATAAATACTCTGAATGAATGATTCTTACAGTCAAAGTGTTTTTTTTAAGTTGAATAAAACTAATTCAATTTCTTGTTACCACATGACGTAACTTTTTAAGTAGATCTGACGAGCCACTTTTTACAGTGTACTGTCCAAAATGACCAGTGAATCTACACAAGTTTTTATGTGGAATGATATGTAATGTTGATGAAGGTAAAATAGTACTAAAAAATAGTACAAAAGTAAGTTTCCTTGGGGGGCTATTTTGCCTTACAACACCCTGCATGTACCTCTCCAACATGAATTTGTTTAAAAAAATATGTTTGAGACCAAAATCATCTCAAAACCGTTGTTAAACAATGTTTCAGACATCAGGCTGCATATGTATAAGCATTTCATGTAATAACTTTCTGTGAGGGAGCTTTCAGACGTTCGGTTCCTATCATCACAATTAAGTTTTTCTACATTAAACCATTTCACATCAAACCACTCTGAATAACTTGGTTTACACTACAGAGGTTGAACAGAAGTTGATTTGAAGTGCTTTTGAGATCTGAACTGATACAAAAAATTGTTTTTGTTTGTTTAGCAGAACTAAAACTTTGCTGTGTTTATTTAAAGCATTTATGTGAAACTAAATGTTTTAGGTTGAACTGGCAAACTTTTTTTCAGTGTGAATTTTTAATGATTTAGTGACACAGAAACTTTGAAAAAAGCCTACAATTTAATGTTTCCAGGTTTCCTGAAGACTATACACATTGACATCATACAGCTAGTAGTTATTATTACATCCCCAAAGTTTCTGGAGCTCAGATACAGAAGATTAATGCATTTTCCTGACTTTGCTGTAAGATTGACTGCCTTTACTATTGAAAGGATATCCTGCAGAAGCACCTAAAATAGTTAAATAAAGAAGTTAATATTATATATTTTCCAGAATAAACAATAGGATCTATAATAGGTAGGTTATCTATAATATAATAGGTTTATTACATACTAAGGTTTATTATTCAGTAACTACAGGGACTACAGCTATTCTTAGGTTATAGAAGTGTGTAATGAAACTTCGGGCTTACCTGTGGACCCTGGCCATTTAAAGGGTTAAGAGGACAGCCTACAATTACCAGAGGAGCCTAAAGTAGCTTATGAGAGTACCTTAATAATGTGCAGTACTGTGTAAAAGTCTTAAAATAATTAAAAAGATTGATCTCAACAATACGTGTGTTTTTGCTTGTAAAAATACTGAACTTCCTCCAGGACAACTTTGGAAAGGGTTAAGCAAACATACTGAAGTATTGTTTATTTGTTTATTGAATTGAGTGAATTTTGGACAAATTAATGTTTCACCCAGATAAACAAGTTTACATATTATTTTTGTAAATGGCCTGGAGATCTACCACCCTGAAGAGTTTAGCTCCAACCCTAATATATCACACCATGTAATGAAGACCTTCAAGGGCACCTGGCCATTAGAGCCAGGTGTGCTGGGTCTGAACTCTCCAGGGTGGTAGATTGCCAGGACCAGGACTGGGCACCCCTGTCCAAGGACTTAAGCACAACACTGTTCATTTTTTTAAATACCTGATGCTCACAGTTGTACATAACTTCATGTCGCCTCACATATGCATCAGTGTATCCTAATAAAAATAAAAATAAAAAAATACTTGAGCTCTTCTAGCACACTATCACCACCTGTAAGGTACTGATCAATCCATGACATAACAGTGCTAGCATTCAACCTCCAGGGTAGTTAAGGAAACCTAGGATAACAGCTATATTCAAATCTTTGCCAGCACTCTGAGTGAGGAAGATCACGTAGAGTAACTGCCTTTCACTGGATGAACAGCAGCTGTTTCTAGATTATACAGTCGTAGTCAAAAGTTTGAACACCCCTGGCAAAATGGTACGTTTAGTGTTTTTCTAAAGGAAAATAAGTTAATATGTCCTATACAGGGAGCAAACTTAAATATGGCATTTATCTGTACATTTTAGTACATAATTTCTATTTATTTACTGAGTTTAACATATTGGAAAACAAATTTACTGTAAAATATAAAACATGCCTTATTTTTACACAGACCATATTTTATGTTCTTCTTTCCCCAACATGTTCAATTCAGCAAATAAACGGTATTAAACTGTGCAGAGCATGTTCTCTGTAAAGGATGTCTTAACTTATTTTCACATGGAAAAACAACAAAAAAACAAACAAACAAACAATAATGCATGTAATTTGACTCTGGCACCCAAACATTTGCAAACAGCTGTATTTTGTCTGAACAAATCGCTTGGTTATGTAATTTTTCTATCAAAACTGAGTTAGTAGTGGAATAAAGTATCTTAGGAGTAAAATATGTTTTTTCTTTTTTTTCCAAATTTCTTGTGCTCACACAGATTAGAGTAGATTAATGTCTCTTTTCATAATTTGTTCTGCACACGTTTGCTTGTGAGAGGTAAACAACAAGTACAAACAGAAAAGAAAACAACTGAACATGCTTGGCTTGTAGTGGCAAACACATCACTGTCAATACCTCCATCTCCAAAATAGTGACTTTACAGGAGAAGGAAAAAATTCCGTAACTTATAACAAACTTTACTGTGAAAATATATTTTTTTGTAATTTTCAACCATTTCTATAAGTCTAATCCTCAAGAGATTTTCAGCTGGTGTTTTCCAATTATGTAAAAAAGTAAAAAGTGACAAAAATGGAGATATAAGTTGTTTTTTTCACATTTTTGTTGATAAAGACAGAGGAAGATGAGAGAAGGACAGGCCTAGAAACGTTCTGTTTGGTACCAATTCCTTCTTTCATCAGGAACGTTTACGTTCTCAGGTAAACCAAATGCTTTAGAATCCAGTGTAAATAGCAGTGGGCTGGTGTACCGAGCCTGGATTTGTACACTGATATGAAGACTCGAGTCTTCACACAAATCCCTTTGGCACCCCTCCACCTGCCTGCCTCCCTCCCTCTCTGAACCTTGCTCTCCTTTTCTCTTTTTGGCTACACACTCTCCTCTTGTCTCTCCATCCCTGCGCTTTGTGCTTTACACTCTATTACATCATTATCGCTCCCCTCCTCTCCAACGATCCTGAATTTTTGTCCTTAATCATTCATTCAAGCAAAAACAAACAAGCAACAAGCAGAGCCAAAGAATGTCATGAGGAAGGCGTCTGCCGGCGGAGAGGAAGGAGAGAGGGAAAAGAGGAAAAGGAGAGGAGAAAAGCAGGGTGTGGAACTCCCCCCGGTGGGCTTGGCAGGCCCTGGCCTCCCCCCTTCAGCAGATGGCTCTTTTGATAAGCCGTGTCCTCTCCAGGCCTGTATACTCCTGCGCGTTACCATGGCGAGCGAACATGTAATGGATTTGCTTGCTTATTAAATTTGCCTGTTTGCAAAGAAAAAAAGAGGCTATGTCCAAAACTATGGCATATTCACTACATAGGGCCCTGTTTTGGGAATCTGCCGTTTCATAGTGGTGCCTGAAAACAAAGGCTGCACCATATGAAGCAGTACTGCACCATTAGCAT